CTCAATAGATTGAAATCAGCACTGTAAACTGAACTTAGAAACTTACAGGAAGTCAGGGCAGCACCTTTAAAATACCCCATTTCCCCGAAAGTAAGGCCTACCCTGAAAATAAGCCTAGCTTGATTTTTGATGGTGGGCCTAATATAAGCCGTATCCCCCCCAAAATAAGTCCTAGTTTTAGGGCAAGGTGCACACCTAAACATCAAACTAGGATGGGGGTAGGGGGGTAGAGCTGCCCCATGTGCCCCGCACCCACTCACCTTGCAGCCAGGTCTCTCCTCACTAGCCTACTTCTTCTGTGGCATCTTCTGCAGCCAGGCCTGCATTTCTCAGTCACAGGCCTTTCCGGAAGGCCACTGCAGCCGAGAACCGACCTATGGATTGAATCCATAGCTCAGTACTCGGCTGCATAGGCCTTACAGGAAGGCCTGACTGCAAAATGAAGGCCAGAATGCACTGCAGAATGAAGCTGCTCCTTTGGTCAGAAGAAGTGGGCCGGCTGGGCAGGGCTGTCGGTGCCAGAGTTGAGTATAAAAGGCACTCCCTGAAAATAAGACCTGGTGCCTCTTTTGGAGGCAAAAAAATAAAATAAGACCTGGTCTTATTTTCGGGAAAACACGGTATTACTGTTGAATCATCCTGTACCTATCAGCAGGTAGACTGATGCATTTTATATTAATTGCAGTTTTGAATTAGTCTTCCAGGGCCACCTGAAAGAGAGTTTACTGCAGTAATACAAGGCTGTATACACACATCCTCTTCTGTGACAGAAATGTATACATATGCACATAGACAAATGAGGAGAATTTCCAAAGCAGCTACATGAGCTTTCTATAGGACATGGCTGCTTTTATGATTCGAATAAATGTGTTTTGCTATGCTAATACACTTTGCAAAGCATGTGTTTTGAATGCTTTGCACAGCCATAGCTTATGATTCATAATAACAGATGAAACAAATGTGGAATTCAGACCACAAATGTCATGTTTAATTTTTTTAGCAGCTCATATTTCTACTTGTTATTTACTGACTTTCATGCACTGATTTTCTGCACATATAAAGCTATTGAGCATTATAACCAGTAGTTGTAGAGATAGCTAACAGAAGGACTGTTAAAGCATTTTTATCTGCTTTCCTTGCCTAAAAGGAATATGCCTCCTACTCGTTCTCAGAAGTTTCATAATTTTCTTCTTCACTCAGTTCAGTCTTCTTTCTCTTCTAATTCAGACTTATGCAGTTCAGGTATTCATAGGTTTCACTGTCCCTCCATAATGGAGGACAGCACAACATAGGCCTTTAGTTGTCGATAGAATTCAGGAACTCAGGGTTTCCTTCCTTCCTTCCTCCCTCCCTCCCTGACAAACTGGCCCTGCAGTTTTCTTAGGTTGATTTCACAAGTGGCTTGCCATTGCTTTCTTCCTAGGGCTGAGAGAGAGGGACTGGCTTAAGATCGCCCAGCTGGTTTTGCGCCTAAGATGTGACTAGAACTCATTGTTTCCTGGTTTCCTAACCATCAAACCCGATTGGCTGCTTTTCTGTGATCATGCTGTTTTCTAAATAAATTTCATCTTTAGTTTTCTTTTACATAAGCATCAGTGCAGAAGTGCTATTCCTAACTATGGTCTTAAACAATCATTTCTGCCATATAAGGCAATCTGTTGTCCAGCAATGAGCTATTGGGCCCAGAGTAGAGAAAAGTTTAAAGATTATGAAAAAAAAGAGATAGTGTTTTTGTTTCAGTTCACAAGGAGTGCTTACCTGACTTCAAGGTGGACAGACTGGATGGGTGGTTGTAAGGAGAGCAGACAATTGAGATGCTGAACAACAGGTTGCCCTCTTCAGTTCTGCAGTTTAATTTGCCCCTTTTCTCTTAAGAACATAGCGATGGTGTATGCTTCCCAGAGCTATATATGTGAGACGGCAGATATATAAATGTAATACAATAAAACAAGCATATAACTTGAATCCAAGTTAATATCCTTTGCATTTATTCTGTGCTTTTTGTATCAACCAAGAACAGTAATGCTTAAAATTTGCCAGAATAACTTGAGAGCCACCACTAAATGGGACATATCATACTCCCCAGTACAGTAAGATTTATGATGATCCATGAAATCCCCACAACTGGAAAGTATTTCTCCTCGCTTTTCTCTTTGGCTCTCAGTACAAGCAATGGAGTAGAGTAAATCCTACTTCAGGCTTGAGTAAAATGTCTGCCAACCAATTACCAATAGGATTACCAATGGATTTCCAATTTATATAATTTAATGGTTAATGTAAGGAATGTTTTTGTCACTTCTGCCACTTTCTTCTTAAGTTAAAGCAGGAAGGGATATCCCATTAAGACACAATTTCTCTTCAGATAATCTGTTGGAGCTACGTGGAAGGTAGGGACAAGGTAATATATTTTTCTACACTTGTTTCTTTTCATTGCTTTCTTCATGCTTAAATGGAAGAGAGCTGGCTGATGTCTTACACAGAAAACTTTTGAAATTAGGCCAAGGACTGCATTAAAATTAAGCTGAATGCACTAGATGCTCAATAGCTACTGATTGCCCTTCCCTGATGTAAATCCACAGTGATGATCTGGATATTTTCCTGCAAAACAAGAGGGTAACTTATTTGGAGTCAAGAGGGAAGGGAGAATGCTCTCAGGCAGCTTCCTCAGCCATACTGACTAGGCGTGCTGGGAATTACAGTTCCAAGAATCACCAGATTAAGTAGTTTTTTATTGTGTCATGCATAGTCACATGCACAATGATTAGGTGGGTTGGGTTTGTTGGTATTAAGGGAGAGTCGGTGACTCTAGAGTTCTTTAGTATCTGAAAAAGGGCTGCTGTCTACTGGATAATAAGATTTTATCATTTGCAACAAATACAGCATTAGACTTATGTATGTTTGATTGCCCACAAAAATCAGAAGAGGACATTTTAACACAAACAACCCCACACTTTTCCACTGAAGAAAATGTGTATTTCTTTATCTGAAATATAATGAGCTTCAGTCCTTAGAAGATTCTTAATTGCTGTAAGTATCAATAATTCAGAAGTAGTATTGATCCTAGTGTGACACTTGGACTCCAAGATGGACAAAGCTCTGCCTTTCTTTGGAGACAATATGCTGTCAGTCTAACATCATCTCTAAATCAAGTTGAGTTCAAAGGTTATTTTCGTATTGCATATTCTTGATGACAAGAAAAAAAATCTTTTCAGCAGCTATGATGAATGGGGGGAAAATGAAAGCGAAATACTAATGAAAGCTGTAATGCTCTGAAAAGAATGCTTTTGATATAGTTTCACAAGTTTGATTAGATCAGGGGTGTCAAACTCAATTTCACTGAGGGCCGCATCAGCATTGTGGTTACCCTGGGGGGGTTGGGGGTGTGTGGCCAGAGTGGGTGCAGCCTAATGGGTGGGCGTGGATATCATTCGCGTCAAGGGTGCCTATGGGGGGCCTGGGCAGGAGTGGGACAGATCTGAGGGTCTCTGGCAGAAGGGGGTGGGACCGGGGCAAGTGCCAAGGCATGGTCCACTGGGGCAATTGCCAAGATGGCCACCACAAAATTGTACATTGGCTCCCAGCTGGCCTGGGCCAGAGTCAAGGCAGCGGGGGCCGTTCCCTCACTGTTTCCAGGATGGCTTCGCGGGCCACATGAAACCACTTTGCGGGCCACATCCGGGCCTTGTGTTTGACATGTCTGGATTAGATAGTACAATAGGAAGATTATTGTTCTGTTCAAGCCACACAGAATATTGTTCTGTGTGGCTTGTTCCACTTGAGATGGTTTAGCTCATGAAAGACAGCTTGATATTTATGATTTCTTGAAATGTTGTAGTAAATATATTGCTATTGAATTAATACATGGTGGTTACTAACAAATTCAGCATTTACAATTTTACCTGTTAATCTTGACTGAAGATGATTTTGGGCAAGGAAAGCTTACGCTTTTGTATGAAGCCCTTGATTTTAGAATTAGAATAGCTGTTAGGTTCTGAATTATTCAAATCTCTCACTTTTTTTGATAATGCGGTAGAATTGGGCTGATTATAATGGTAAAGCGCCAAATAAGCTAATTATCACTATAGTTCTATATATACTATGCAAAAAATTAAACCTAATGTTGTGCTTTCAAGGCAAACCTGAATGTTCAAGCTCTTTGAAGAATAAATTCCCATGCCATGTGACCTTCTTTAAATTCAGTCTGAGAGTATTTTCAGAAATGGACTGTAAGATGGCATGAGATAAGCATATACGTTTAAATTCAGAAATCTGACTGAAACTCAGAAATCTGACTCAGAAATTCTGACTCAGAAATACCAAGTTGTTTGGCTGTAATCCACATACAGTAATTACTTGAGGTATATCTAGCAATTATATCTAGGCTTACTTTTGGAGGAAACCATATAAAATCCAGCGGGGGGAGGGATTTACTTTCAATTTCATAGTAAGTTTATTTTGTTAACAGTCTCATAAAACTGAATTTGTATCTTATGATGAGTTGGCCTTAAAATGATAAAAACGAATAATAAATTAATTTTTGCCCTAAAATCTTACTAGTAGCTTTCCTCAAAACAAACCATCAAATCAAACTGTGAATTTAAACTTGATTCCTCATGCCTGTCCTTTCCATGAGTTAATGCCTAACAAGAAGGCTCCCACAGGAATGACAGGCTGCTGATATGCTGTAACAAAAAATGTGATATAGGAAATACATGTTTTGTAGTTTGTGTCTAGTGGTAGAAAACGTTTAGTAAGTATTTAAAAAAAAACAGCCAAACTAAAATTGAATTGTTACTGATTTGAAGTATGAGTACTTATCATTAAATCTGATTTTTCAACTTTTTCTCATAGAAAATCAATGCAAAACTCCATGAAGGGCTCTGTCAACACTGTAAGGAGGTCCTGGAATGGCGGATAAAATTCAACAAATATAAGCCATTAACACAAGCTAAAAAATGGTGAGTAAACTGTTATTTAATATAGTAGAAGCCCTACGGTTACTCCAGCAGATATGGAAACTTAATCAATTGTGGCCAAAGAGAGGGGAGATCAGACTGTGTAGAACCTCCCATCCTTTAAAGCAGAACCTCCCATCCTTTAAAGCAGAGTTCCTTTTGGGGAGGCGGAAAAGAAGGGATGGTTTTGTGAGGGGGAGAACGCATGCGCGTGCACGAACACCCGTTGCTTACCCGAGTGGGGCTGCAAGTACTCGTGCAAGTGGGCCGCAAACACCTGTGACGCTTGCGTGAGTGCGGCCGAGAATGCCCACAATGCTCGCGTGAGTGGGGCTGCAAACGCCCGTGACACGGCGATGCTTGTGTGAATGGGCCCCTGGCGACATGTGAGTGAGGCGACAAATGTCGGTGACACTTGCACCTACTGTACGCACACACACGCATCAGCCAGCCACTCACGTGGCCCGGTGGCCAATGAGCTGTGGCATGGTAGTGGGCTGTGGTCCACAGGTTGGTGACCCCTGCTTTAAAGGGAGCAAAAATAATTTAAGAGTCACCTACACTAAAAATATGCACTGCTGTATACTTATGAAGCTTCATTAGTAAATAACAAGGTACACTAAGGCAAGATTAACATAAAGGCCTCTTGCATGGTGAAAACTATAATTAAACCACAGCCATAAAAGCCTTCCTTAACCTAAAGAAGGTAAATAGTTTAAGTATGAAAATGCATCCTCAACTTTCTCAAGCCTACAGTTGTTCAATAAGTAACAGTGGCTCTTCTATTTTTTAGGAGCAATTGAGAAGCAGCCTCAGGAGGCTATGTTTTTAACCACAAAAACAGTGAGAGGTGATCAGTCCTTTCCATGACAACAAAGGAAGCAATTTTGCGCAAGATAGTTTAAGGATATTTTTTTCTGTGACCCTTTCCTGTTCTAAGACTTTTGGAGGTGTTTTTTTATTTAAGAAAACCCACATATCTAGGCTTTGTAAACATGCATTTCTGTTCAAGTGCATCACCAGGTGATTCATGCAAAGGAATTGTAAATAACCTTTGAGCTTAACTCTGTTTAAAATGTGTCTTATCAGTATTATTCAAGTCTGTATTTTCCAGTGGAAAGGATGTGTTCAAAACAAGCCTTAATTCAACCCTGTGCATAGAACAAAGAAGAACACAACTTTAAGAAGCTTCTGTACTTCGTTGGGGATATTTTTTTTAATACTACTAACAAAGTAGTGTGAAAATTACTCAGAGTTACATTAATGGGTTTTGGCAGCTAAAAAAAGAAATCTCGCAGGACATGGGCTACCTGTATTGCTACACATCTTGCTCCTGCAACATGGTTGGCAAGGCCTTTAAACAGATTGGCCTCACATTCCTCTTACTCCTCGCTTCCCTTAGATTCTGTTCAGTCAAGACACAGAATCACTTATGAATAGGATTATCTGCTGTCCAAAAAAAGAAAAGCTCTATGATCAGCTGTGGCAGTTTATGAATATGCCTAATATAGTTGTAGAGACTGGTTGGCAACTGCTACTAAATATTTAAATCTGTCAGCTTACAGTTTCAATTTCATCGATACTTGAAAAATTAAGTATTTTTCTATCAAATAGTAAATATGGCCAGAGAAATGGACAAAAGGTTTATTGAAAAATGCACTAGAATATAAACAAATATGCCCTGGTATTGTGAAGTTCATAAGTAAGCTTCATCATACACTGCAAAGTAATCTCTTACGAGTAAATCCAACTCAAGAACAAAAAAATTTGAAAATTACTTCCAAATGTAGAATTTGGAAAATTTCCACATTTTTTGTTCTTGAGTTGGATTTACCCCGTAAGGAATTACTTTGCAGTGTATGATGAAACCTACTTAATAAAAAGATTGAACTAAATCTTTGTACATATGTATAGATATAAGTTCATTTGAAGGCCTAGCCATTGCTTTTGTGTATCTCTGTGTTTTAAAATCAAATTGTTGGTGATTTTTAAAAAACTTAGAACTAATGAAGATTAATTGTAGATAGATATTTTTATGAACAGATTGAATATATAATTAAAGATTATTGCTGGCTACTTCAAACATCATGTATATGATAAAGTATGATCAGGTGCTACCATTGATAACAAATTAGGCACTACAACTTCATTTTCTTCCCAAGAGAACTTATCTTTCCATTACCTGCATTTCAAAATTTCTAAAATCTATTTATGACTTCACAGGTTGCTAATTTATAATGCTTTGTGTCAAGTAGCCATATGAAATATTTTAATTCAACTTTAATTCTTTTTCTCTTAATAGCATAAAATGTCTGCAAAAGACAGTAAAGGATTCTTACCATATTATCTGCAAGTCATGTGCCTGCGAACTAGAGCTGTGTGCTAAGTGTGGAAAGAAGGAAGACATCACAATTCCGTAAGATTTCCTATAACTCCATAAAACTGTTTAACGATTACCTTACGATACATAATAATTCTGTCTGTCCTAGAAGGTCATTAAGAGATGGCCTGTTCAAGATCTTGTCACCAGACAAGGTGAGAGGGGACATTGGGTTAGAAGCCAGGACATTTCATCTGTGGGAGCTGGCAGGAAGTCACAAGTCATCATGCAAGGTCGTTGCTTAACGACCCATGATTCTCACTTAACTATGGTAGAAAAGGATCAGGGTATCTTAATTGACCGTAAACTCATTGTGAAACAATAGTTACTAAAAAACAACAAGAACAACAACAAAGAAAATTAAAGGAAGTTTGATGGGTTATCAAAAGTAACAATTCCAGAAGGCTATTGAGCGATTAATTAACATATTGTTTATGATAATTAACTATTATCTATTATTGTTTGTTAAACACATGAACCTAGACATTATGCTGTTTGCTAAATATTGAGAATGTTATTTGGAAAAACCCCAATCCTAATCCTAACCCAAATCCCAACCCCACCTTATTCCTAACCCTATAAAAACTAATAAAATCTATACAAGAAAAAAAAAGTAACAATTCCATTCATTCAACATTAGGTCAAATTTGGAATAGTGTATCCAGTTCTAGATGGCTTAATTTAAGAACAACTTTAATGAACTAGACCAGGGGTTGGCAACCTTGGCTCTTTTATGACTCGTGGACTTCAACTCCCAGAATTCCTGAGCCAGCATGGCTGGCTCAGGAATTCTGGGAGTTGAAGTCCAGAGTCATAAAAGAGCCAAGGTTGCCTACCCCTGAACTAGACTGTATGTTCAAGAGAAACAAATAGAAAGGTCAGTAGCTGAGTACAAAGAGGGTCCCCCCCCTTTTTTTTTTTATCCCCCAGGCCTGTGACATTTTCCTTTTCCTGGGGTTCCTTGTCCAGATCTGTTGTAGCTCCCTTTCAGTGTCTCTATAGTTCTTGAAATCATTCGCATTTCCAGTTTGGGATGAGAATTGTTAAGTATTGTTTCTATAAACCGTTAAATAATAAGCATTTTTATCATTTAGAATTCTAAACATTTAAAATAGTATTTAATAATAATATTTTCTCTCCTGTTGGTGAGATACACACATATTCATGGAAATACATGGTGTATTTCTACCCATAGCCTACAGCTAAAATTATGGACGGTTTTGGCAATGTGGAACACTAAACAGTTTTAGATTTTGGCAGTGTGTCATGGTAGAAGCAGATGGTATCTCTTGTGTCATTGGTGAAGTGTTGCATTGGACATGAACACAATAGGTAGAAAAAAATGTTATGCCTGTACCAGCTTGTCTCCTTAGCCAGCATAAGACATTGCTTTGCTCTGTCTGCCTCACCAGGCTCCAGATTACAGTCTGTCTATTGTTACATTAAATTTGTGCCACATGGGGGAATAAAGTTCCTTTTTCTTTCCTACGAGTAATAAAGCCTGACAAATATTACTGTGATTCTTTTTTTCAGAATTCAGACAAATCTACAGCATACTGAGCATCAAAGACAGCAGAACAGAAAGGACATATTTGAGAGAGATGATGAAACAAACTTAAGTGGCTTGGAAGATGAAGATCTGGATTTACTCAACAAAACAGATTAAAAACTTAAACTGAAACTATGGGGATCTAAATGATTTCATCAAAACAAAGCTTTTAGGCTTCATTTCATTTCTTCCTAAATAATTTATTGGGCATTTTTGTTATGTGTGGAGTTCATGGCATCTGGAAACAGTTTTCACAAACCTTATGATTCCATTTTCTTCAAGAATCAGATTTGCTTAAACGTTCTGTTGGTAGGATGACTTTTTTTTTCATTTAATAAATAGCAACAAGCATGGTATCCTATATCTGACTTGAATATATTCATTGTTTCTCATTCTTTTCCCGACTCCTGTGCTTTCTTTCAGCCACCTTATTCCTTTTGTTTATACGGCAAGTAACTCCCCACTTCAATTTTTTTTTCTTCCACAATTGTTGCTTCACCTTTTACAGTATATTTCAGCCTGTGCAGTACTTCCTCTGCCAAGTTATTGTCTCTAAAGATGTAACAATATCACAAAATCACTATTGATATGGCCCAGAACCCTTCTCACATTAGAGGAAAAGCAGAGCTGGTCCATCTCCTTGGCTAAGGGAAAAATGGCCTCACCATCTTCAGTGGCCACTCGTACTATTGTTTCTCCTCTTGAGTTGTTATAAGAAATCATAATTGAACATTGGAGGAGCTTCTTTTTATGTCTGCTTTCCTTCTTGTCTGTTCTGCCTTTAAATGGTTTCTCCCTTAGCTTTACTTTAACACCACTGGTCCTGTAAAGCAGAGGTCCCCAACCTTTTGGGCGCCAGGGACTGGTTCCGTGGAGAGAGGTTTTTCTGTGGACCGGAAGGTGCGTTTTATGTGCTGCCTGCATCTCGCGGATGGGGCTTTGCTTGTTTATGCGGATTGATTGCTGGCATGCCGCGGCCCGGTACTGGTCCTCGGATTGGGGGTTGGGGACCCCTGCTGTAAAGTGTTTTGAGAGCATTCTGTAACACACATACACAAACACACACATACCCCGTGGAATAAAACACACAATAAACAGAGGCCAGTCAGATCCATTCTGTGAATCCTGTATCCAGAACATGAAAGAATCCAGCCTTTTTACTGCAAAACCTTTGTACAGTGCCAAGAGCACCAGGAGCCCTTGTGCCACAATCATTAGAATGAAGTGTTGCAAGCAAACTCTGCCTACAGCCTGGATTTTGATCCTGAAGGGGCTCAAAGTTGACTCAGCCTTCCAGCCTTTTAGCCTTCTAGGTAGGTAAAATAAGGACCCCAGATTATTGGGGGCAATATGTCGACGTTGTAAACCACTAATACATAGTGGCTATACTGATAAAGGTAGAGAACAGTACCAAGACAAGTAACACATCCATTCTAAACTGTAATTACTTTCATTTGGAAAATGAATTTGCCAAGTGGGGAAAGGAAACTAGTTGCTTTGCAAAAAATATGTTTTGTATCATTCCTATGTTTGGTTTGGAGAAAATTAAATTATAGTATTATAAAAGTTTGGATTGTATTTATTGTGATGTGAGTTTAAAAGTAGCAATGATGATAACTGTCTAGCATGTAACTATAATATGTACGATGACATTTTTGTGTCTTGCTTGCCCATCACCACAGTAGACAACTGGAAAATGCTTATTTATATACTTGTTCTAATAAATGAACATGGCCTTGATGATGATCAGGGTGATTCCGTGAAACAAAACATTCTTATAGGTACGCAAATGTGTTTACAGATCAGCTTGTGAATCAGTTTCTTCATTTGCTTTCTCGGGTTTTAGTGTGTCTGTAAATAAGAACTTCACAAAACTTTTGGGATATAAAAAAAAATCATTTCACCAAAATGTGTATTCCTTCCATTGAGCCATAATTGCTGCCAATCTTCACTCTGAAACCTAATTTGACAAAAGAAGTAGGAAATGAATTTTATGCTAGTAGTCTTCCCATGAAGATATGTCAGTCACAGGGAAGAGAGTACGGATTTATTTTTTTTACAGCATTCAAGGTTAAGATAAGAAATGACGGATGAAAGCGATATAGAGGATGATCCAAATATGAACTAGGGAGGGATTTCCTAATGGAGAGAGTTATCTAACATTGAAAGAGACTGCCCCCTTATGGAAGCCCCGTCACTGGAAGTTGTCAAGAAAAGATTGGACAGCCATCGGTCCAGGATGGTATTTGAATTCCTGCAGAGGATTGGACTAGAAGACCTCCAAAGTGCCTTCCAAGTCGATGATTATTTTGTGATCTCTATTTTTCAGCTGAAGAGTCACTTGGCTGAGTTGAGTGGCTATAGAAATTGAATAAATAAAAATTAATAAATCCTATAAAATGCCCGAAGAAACATTTTGTTCCCCTGAGAGTTGTGAGGAGAAAAGAAGAACTGACCAATGATCACCTTTTTTCCACCTGAGCAGCACACTCCACTTCATGGAATGTGTCAAGATTTGACTCGTGCATTCTTATATCTTTCTATCGGATTGTCTCCTTCCAAAGTGAGAAAGGGTGAACATTTCTTAACTCTTAACAAAGATTGTCCAAGTCCTAATTAGTAAGAGTATCATTCCTTGGGCAGAGCTGCTTAATAGGGCTATCCATACCTGATATGACTGAAAAAGGTGAAGTTAGATTAATGAATAGAAGACAGTTGCTCTGTTCGTGTCGGAACTAAGGTCCTTTTTTTTCCCCCTCCTGAGTCATTTTGGAGACATTTACAACTATTAAAAATGCAGCCACAAAATCAATTGCATTTTGCTGCTGTATGATCTCAATTTATTAAATATTTATATCCCACTCTTGAAACAATTTCCAGGGTAGCTTGGAATTCTTCAAAAAAAAATAAAAATAAAACACAACCTCAAGCAGCAGCATACAGCTGCTTCTATACTCCATAGCCAGCATTACAGAGCCAAAGGAATCGATTTTGGTAATGGCTCGATATGACTTGGAGCCAGAAGCCAGGCGATTTGCAGCCAGACCAGTAATTGAGGAAGATTGTCCTGTGGATAAAAGATCTTTCTCCCTTGCAATCCTCATTTTCGTGCAATCCCGCACAAAGGAGACAAGAAGAAATTATTATGTCTGTGGGACGCAACTTGCTATCACATTTAATGCACTTGCTATAAGCCTCATGGAATAGAAAACCAGCATACCAAAGGGCATCTGGAGACATTCCAACACATCATAGTTGTAGCTTTTGCTGGATATAAGGAGAAACAGAAGAAATAAATTGGGGAGGAAACCTTTGCTATCAGTCTTGGGGATAGAAGGAACCCAGGGATCCATATCAAGTTCACTCAAGGGTCACTTTTCCTACCAGCCTTCTGTCTTGCAAAGTTCTCAAGGCTTCATGCAGATTTATCAACCAGATATTAATGCAGAGGTGATTATTTGAAGGAACGTAAATCTGTGGGTTTCTCATTCTTACACGAGTGTATTTTATAGGTGTAGCACTTTAGCATCTGTGCAGATACAGTACATGTTAGTGTTTTTCATGTTTAGACCATCCCAGTTATCTCTTTGCTTCCTAGGAGACTTTTAAATAGAAATCTTACTGAAGGGATAGATTATATCTGGCTTTTAGCTTCTTATCCCTGCTTTTACAGATAAGTAGCAGCACTACTTGATTTGTAGCTGGAAATGAGCCAAGGATCAGAAATAACTCTCAAACATTGGTTATCTCTTGCTGCATTTTTGCAGGGTTATGACAAGATATTTGGGGTTTTTGCTAAGATCTGGTTTGCTGGTAGATGGTGGTTATTGCTTGCTTCTGTTTATGTGGTTGCAATTTTAAAAGGGTAAAAACCTTTTTTGTAATGATTGAATGCTACTCAGAGTCTGCAAGATGAAGCAGCATAGAAATATAAGTAAGCGGTAAATAGAAAATACTGTAATGGCAAGTTTTGTTTCATAATCATGTTTAATCATGGCTATATTATAACTAACTTAAATGTTTGAACCATGTTAAGTTGTAGCCTTATGTATTTAGTATGGGAGTAAGTTATTGGGATTTCTGTGGTATTGTTATAGCTGACACACCAGGATAAGCTACTTAATACAGAGAGATACAGATTTGGATGTCCAGAGGCAAGTCTAGATTTTAACCACCTTTATCCCAAAGAGAACAAACCTAACCTACATAAGTCATATATATATGGATCTCTTACCAACAGTCTTTGTCTTCCCTGGATTCACTAAAGTTTGGCTGATTAAACTACCTAGCTCACGGGTGTTAAACCCGTCACGTCAAGACTTTTTTTGCATTGCTGGAGCTGGGGTGGGCATGGCCTCCGTATGATGCAACCGGCCTGTAGGCCGGCAGTTTGACACCCCTGACCCTAGCTCATTACTAATGGCAGGCAAGAATAAAGCATTTCCAGTGCTCCAGTTCCTTTTTATGTGAGAAAAATAGAACTGGATGTTATCATCATGGGAATGAGATAAATGCTATGAAACTAACAGATGCAGGCATTCCCCACCCCCCACCCCAAAGAAAATGAGCTGTGAAATCAACAATCCTTGGAGCATTACAAAGTGCTCTCATTCTGAGCCTGCCAGCCTACTCAGGATATAATTTAGCTGCTGAATACCAGATGCCACCAAGAGAATTGCTCCTCTTCTCGTGGCTTAGGATATCCATTACACTGACTGAGGCATTTTCTGGGCCAAATCTTGGCCCGAAGCCTGATTCTTTTTCTGGATCATTTTCAGTCAGCCTTCAGAAGTGGCGAGCCTCAAGCAGCACCCACCTACTCAAGCATCTTAACTAAAAAGGAGTGTTAATGACAATAGTTTTACCCTTAAAGGTCTACGGAGAGTTTTGTACCAGCCTCTTGCAAAGCATCATAGAGACCCTATCCATGAAATTATAATATTTGTTAATTCCAACATTTAACTGGGCAATAATTAGAGCCACAGCTAAAAATATTCCAAAATGCAAAGCAATGTTGAATGAGAGTAACAGCAGCTGTGGCATAATCAAGTTAAACTACTTTTGTCAATTGTTTCAGAATTACTTTTTTAAATAATACAATCCTAGCAGTTTATTGCTTGAATATCTGGTTAAATAAAAAGGGGATATCTGAAAACTGCCCTTAAAGAATAAGGTCAACCAAAGAAATCTTCCTTGGGCCTCTTTAGACATTGAAAACAAGGGTAGAAATGTATCTCTTCACCATCTTTATATCAGGTATTAACAGAGAACAAGCACATCTAACTAGGAATGTTGACAAGAAGTTGAGAAACTAAAGTCTTTACTGTTCTATGCAGTGATGTTTACTCTGGAGGCTCGTAT